CTTCGTTGCTTATGCCAGGATTTTAACTCTCATTCCAGTACATTTGATATATATTCTCTCTCAATAAATGATTGACTAACATAAAGACATAATAATCAGCTGATGGATTGGGTTCTGTAGCTGAATAGTTTTAGATCTCGGCACTTAACAAAGTCCTGCCTCTCATGACTCGGCATAAAAATTGAAGAGAATAATAAAGTTTCGTATGTCATACGGATGGCGGGAGGAGGGAAACCGTAGGGGTTAATCATAAAATAATATGCCGTACATATGTATTATTGTGAATGGCTGTGGTTTTTGTTCATGTTTTATTGCCAACCAACACAAATCAGCTACGCTAACTGTCGGATTTCATACGACAAATATCGATTCGTAATAGGGTACATCACAATGCAAGCGTTTATCGTGCATCGTAACAAAATTCATATTAGGGGGATGCATGCATACATAAATTCAAGAACTGACCATTTGAAACTTTACTATGTTTTACATGTATATGTATTTTTATATGTTTTACATTTTAGACTTCTACAAGAAGGAGTAGAACCATACGAACTGGACAAGTTAACGAGAAGTTTTGGATTTCCGGTAGGCGCTGCAACATTATTCGATGAGGTCGGCATTGATGTGGGCTCTCACATTGCAGTAGATCTGGCGAGAGTAAGCTTTCTATTAGATTTATTGAAACATTTATAATTTATTTTTCACAGGCATTCGGAGATCGATTCAGTGGAGGCAATGTAATGTTGCTGGAGGATTTAGTTCTTTCAGGATTTTTAGGGAGAAAGTCCGGAAAGGGCATTTTCATATATGATGGTGCGAAAGGAAAAGGAAGTCGCCCTGTGAATATGGACGCTCTTAGCATCGTGAAGCAGAAATACTCTCTGGCTTCAAAAGGAGCGAATTCAACCGAAGACTTGATTTTACGTATGGTATCACGATTTGTAAATGAAGCTGTTATATGTCTAGAAGAAGGAATTTTGGATAATCCTTTGGAAGGTGATGTTGGTGCTGTATTTGGTTTGGGCTTTCCTCCTTTTACTGGAGGACCTTTTCGTTGGGTCGACCATTATTCGGCATCGAAACTAGTAAAAAAGATGGAAGGATACGCAGGTTTATATGGTGTGGCATTTGAACCAGCTCACACATTAATGGAAATGGCAAAAAAATCTTCGAAAAAGTTTTATACAAAGGCATGAGCATTTGACACTTCAAATCCTTATCCAAAGTATGTAACTTTAATAAACCACGATTTTGTATACAAATTTAAGTTTTAATGTAGTTGTTTATATTTTATCAATTTATATAAAATCCTTAAATGTATTACTCAATAAATATAACAATGCGTGGAAAAAACTAACTTTCAAATGAGGTCATGAGAGCTGCAGTAGCCTATAAAACTGGTCAACAGTGATTTTCGTGCAGAGCAACTCTAATTCCTTTCCAACATAAATTAAAAAATTTATTTCCTACGTCTAGTTTTTAAGATAGCGCCACATAACGTATTTGGTTGAAAAAAGATCGATCATAAAAATGTCTAATGTCAGGAGAATTCCTTAACCGATCCAAATGAATAATATATCAAACAGGGTTCGTATTTGCACACACATGCTCTACTCACACACGCGCCAGAAACGTATTCAACTTGCAGTCGTTGCTCATACACATGTGTGCATAAGTGGAAAACAAACTCTGCTCACAGCAAAGTGTGTACTGTTTGTTCCCTGCAGTGCAAAGCCAATCCCGTTAGAAAAAATACTAGTTCATCAACTAGTATGTGCCTACCAGTTTGACAATTTCGAAGAACTTCAGCGTTCAGCGACATGTGCCTTTGAATTGCCAACACCAAATATATAACGCAATTAATTGCTCTTCTTATAACCCTATTTGGTGCTGATATCGCAGGTTCGAGTCCGCTCGGAGGCGGTTAGGATTTTTAAAATTAATTCAATGTAAGTCAATATAATTATATCAATTTAAATATAAATTATAAATTTGAAAATCTAATTTCATTGCATATGCGAAGAAATACCTGTGCAAGCGATTGAACCGCGGACCCCAGTACTACCACGCCAGTGCTCTGCTCTGTCGGCCATTGTTACTGGTATGCTGCTACTAGTATTTCTACTAGTAGATGCTGATGCATAGACTGACAATTGACATATCGTACGACATCGCCATGTTAAAAATACCAGTCGCTAGTAGTAATTTAGTTCACAACTAGCAGCTTTCCCTGCAGGGTTATTAATCGCAATGCACATGTGTATGAGCAGATTTTTTTACGAATTTCTGCTCACGCACAATATATTTAAAAAAAAAAATTTGTTGTAAAACTTCTTTTTTTAACAATTCAATAAAAAGTGATATGTTGATTGTTTTTTATATGACAGAAAACATTACTATTTTAAGATTAGAGTTAGAATTCGTATTGTATGAGTTTCTACGACTGCTTGTGTCGTAATGCGGTCGGAGCTGCTGTATCTTCCTCGCATGGTGACCGTGCAACGCTGCAGACGTCCTGATCCGTTGCGTTCCAGTTGGAGATCTCTCACCAGTTCCGAATCAACCAATGAGTTTGGTGCGCAAGGGTCAATCATTGCGCGAACCAAATGAAGGCGGCCCCTTGCTTCAATCCGCACTATTGCGGTCGGCGCGATGGGGATAAGCGCACGAATGATCGGCGTTGATATGGCGCTTTGCACTAGGCGGCCCGTTCGGAAGCCGGTCGGTGGAGCGCGTTGTAAGGCACGACTATTGATGTTGCTGTCGTTTGTGCGAGTTTTGTGGTATGGTGCTGCTTTGCGTAGCCTAGACGATAGCTTAGACGAGCGGAAAGTACGAGTTTCCGCGCCGTCGTGTCGTTTTGGCTTGCGTTGCGATCGTGATGCCGGGCGGAAAGGACTGGTTTCCGCGCCGCCGTGTTGCCGCCAGTTGTGTTGTTGACGCGTTTGCGAGCGGAAAGGACGAGTTTCCGCGTCGCGTCGGTTGTATTGCTGACGCGTTTTCGAGCGGATAGGACGAGTTTCCGCGTCGCGCCAGTTGTGTTGTGCACGCGTTGGCGAGCGGAAAGAACGAGTTTCCGCGTCGCCCGCGCGTGGTTGTAACTTGTCTAACAGTCTCGGTGTGCCAGTTCCAGAGTTGCGCTTTTGTCGCTCATGGGGGGAAGAGTCTGTCCTCTCTGACCCCTCCAACTCCTCCTCTTCGACCTGCTGCGCCCACGACTTCGTCTGCTCCGTAACGTCGATAGAGAGTGCCCCGTCCGAGCTCTCGCCGTCGTTGATCGCGTTCGCTGGGTGCCTTTGGTCTTCGCAGTCATCGAGATGGAGCGAGGTGTGATGCTTTTCGCGACATCGGTGGCATCGATTCGTGCTGCTGCACATGTCGAGGCGGTGGAACGGTGAGAGGCAGTTTGGGCAATATTTATGCAGCTTATTGCTTCGACCGCTTTGCCGCGGTAAAGGGGGCATAGTCGAATGCCATGCGCTCCGCCGCATAGCCGGCATAGAACCGTGAATTTATCAGCGCGTTCTTCCGCATGTGCGCGATTAGCCGAGAAACGAGTCATTCTGTAAATGAGTCTCGTAGTTATGTCCGTAGGTGTAAAAAGTTACGTACTATTAGTTTTGGGTTGGGTGGCAAGAGGCGAATATATGTATGCCTGTATGTCTCGTGAAAGCACATTTTATATATACGTGTGATATACTTATGTACATATATATATATATATATATATACTATTTGTTTATTTATTTAATTTGTTTTGACTTGGTGAAGAACAAAACTGGGCCAATTCAGACTTTCAGTCTCCGCGTACTTGTGCGGTATTAAGTATAGACTAATGGTCTTACTCTTAAAAAATAAATAGACTTACAAAGCTCCAGAAAGTGGCGTTTTTTATAAAAAAGCTTCAATTTAAAAAGCGGTTAAAGTCTTCTTTATTTTCAATGACTTTGAGCGTAAGGTTTCGTATTTGGGTTAAAACAGATCTGTGGAAGGTGACCATCGCTATAAGATTTTATTCCATTACATTTGTTGCCATTTGCTTTTGCATCGAACAGACCTTTATGTAGTACAAACTTTTCGATCACTATTTCCCCGAACACACCGTGAAATTTGTAATCTCGTAAAAGGTGTCATTTGTGGTTTTGTGGTGAGTTTCACCACTTGGCCTGGCACGGCGAAAGAAAATTTCCTCACTATGGGTTCGAGACCGGGCTAAGCCAGTAAATAGTACATCAGTGTTGCCAGGTCGAAACTAAGTGAGTATGAACAGTTTTTAATGCACATAGTTAAGTTGCAGTTTGAGAACAAAAAAAAAGACGATAAACCTGTGATTTTATTCCAATTAAAAATATTTTTGTTAAAGAAATGCGAATTTTTAAATTCGTAACAAAAAAAAAACGTAAAAACTTTTTATTCTTACATACAGCATCAGAAGCTAGCATAAATGAAAAAAAATCCAAAGGCTTCCTGGTTCAGTTTATTAAAAATTTTTATTACATGTTGACGATTTTTACATGCAAAAGGCGTTTTTTTTTATAACCAAACTGACGCTTTCTCAATATATCAAGTTGTGCACCTGACAACCAGATGGTGCTGCTTGCCCTACTCTTATGAAGGCTCGCAATTCGCCCAATCACATATGTCAAACGTTGAGCTAATACCGTATGTCAAAGTTTTGACACAGTAATAACTTCCTGAATGACTGAAAATTTGATTCTGGATTTGGCACGTGGTAAGTTTGTTGTGATTATTAAATTATTAGTGTTGTTCAATTCATTCATTTCATTTTCAGATCCGACAATTAAGCGTGGCTGTTGCCGGTATTCCACATTGGTCATTTCCGAGCAACAATTTCAATTTTGCAAATGATTTGTAAAAGTCGTGACATTGGCGTATTCGGTAATGATGCACAGGACTGGCATACCTGCTGATATATGGCGTTTCTACCTTGCTTGTGCGCGTCCCGAAGGACAAGATTCTAGCTTTAGTTGGAATGACTTAGCGGCGCGTATTATGACAAATCCAAAGCATATAAATCGATTGGACCGATAACGCCGTTGGAGTTCTACGAAAATCATGTAAAACCAATATTTAATGTGGAACATAAGGTATGTTTAGTAAATGATCCACGCCCATCTAGTATGTACGATCAAACATACACAGTTGATTGCCTCGGCAATGTCGTGGGTGGTCGCCCAGTGCTTTACAATAATCAACAGGTCGAGAAATTACTGCAGTTGGTTGTTGCAAGCTTAAAAGCCGGTGAAGCCGTTTGGTTTGGTTGTGAAGTCAGTAAACGCTTTGCATCAAAGCAGGGCATAGAAGATTTGGATCGCCTTATTTTCGGTGAATCAGCCATGACGCATGCCATGTTATTCACCGCCGTTTCTCTGGATGCAAATGGCGATGTTACTAAATTGCGCGTTGAAAATTCTTGGAGTGAAGACCGTGGTGAAAAAGGTTATCTAGTTATGACTGCCGAATGGTTCAAGGAATTCGGTTTTGAAGTTGTGATCGACAAATCTTTTGTGCCGCCCGAAATTTTGCAAGTTTTCGATATGGATCCAATTGTGCTTCCAGCTTGGGACTGTTTTTCAAAGGGCGGTCCTGCGTAGTTTTTCAAATCTGAAAAACCTGAAAATGTACTGAATTTTCCCCAAGTGTCCTGCATTTGTCCCACATTTTATTCGTTATTTTAAAATTATCGGACAATGGATAAATTTTTTCAAAAAAGTGATTTTTGGTACTTTTCGTAGCTTTTCTTCAATATCTCATGAAAAAATCTCCCAATCAACGTAAGCAACTTACAACTCGAAGGGTATTGATGTGCCTCTTACTAAAATATATGACTTGTGGCAATGCAAGCTATCATTACCATTTGCATTTTTTCGTCGCAGTCGAGGAAAGTGAGCTTTTCAATCAAATACGCAGATTCATTTGAATATTTTTTTTCCATTATTTTAAAAATTCGATAAGGAAGATATATCACTACAGTAAATTTTGAGCCACAGAAATGTAGAAATGTAGATGCTATGGAGCGCAATCTGCACAAATTATATATTCCTGTAAAGGGAACTTTGTAACTCGTCGTTTACGTCGATTCTTGACGTCGATTTTTGACAAATAACTGCGAAAAGTACCAAAAAAACAAAAAAAAATTATTGTTTCCGTTTTGAACGACTCAACATTTGCCTATAAAATAATATTTTAAAGCTTTTCACTTTTCGTGTAAGCTATTGTAATTGTAATATGTCGTGCGATACTTTTATAAATATTCATGTGAAAAAAAGATTAATATCGATGAAGAAAACGTGATTCATTTTTAAAGTTTAAAATGTATTAAGAAATTAGAATCATAAATACTCTTTTGATATTTTTATGCTACGTTAATATATGTAAGTATATTTTTGAAAAATTGTCCTTCATTTTGAATCCATATTTATGGTCACCGTATGTATAACACAAAATATCGTTGGAAGAGTGTATTGTTTATATGTATAATATTTAAATGTCCTCGGTGTGCACTCTCCGTTGATTAGCTACCACTTGCTTGTGTTTCCGTTTCCTCCACTATAAGCTTGGCATTTTATTTAACAAAAAAAAAGCATACCAAGCTGCTTGACAAATGTAATTCGTAACCGATTAGAAGAAATTTAAAACAAAAAAAACACTTTATTTTGGAAATTTTAAAACAAAAACGAAAAACTGATTCTATGTTTTCCCTTTTAACTGCTGCTTATACCTGGGGCATACCATTTACAGTGAATTCCACAAGTCATGTACTATAAAAGCTGGTTCTACATTAGATTTATTAGAAATCGGCTGTTGTAAAACTAGCGATCACGTTATATAATTTTGTTTATGGAGTTTCAAAATGTACAAATATGTATCAACTTAAACGGGGCACAGTTTACTAGCTGGGAATATTTTCTAGATTTTATTTGTATGTTTCGAACTTATTAACGAGTAACCAGTTTTAAATTGCTTTCAACGAAACTGAGATTTTGATTCTTTGATGCTTGAATTATCGTTTGTGATTTTTTAAAATGGTAAAATGTTTACCATAACGCAAAGGAACAAATTCTTTGCTAGGTTGCCTTTGTGCATATCGTTAGTATACAAAAAGCCACGACTAACTGAAAAATTTTATATTGCATAAGATTAGGATTTTGGATTTTTAGTTAGTTACGGTTTTTTATATATCAGCGATGATGTGAGATACGCCCTTTCCGTACTATACTAACGATATATGTATGTATTTGTGAATATACATAAGTTTTGTAATTCTTTTGCCTGCTGCATTTAAAATTTTTCATAACTTTTTGTAAAAGTATGGAACAGTGCCCACGTGTTCTATTACTTTTAAAACTTGGTTAATGGATAAAATTCATTGATGGCTTATACTCGAACAGTAAACAATGTGCGTGCGAAAATTAAAACCTATGTAAATGCTCTGCAACTCTTATAAAAATGTGAAACAAGAAAAATATTCATAATTATACATTTAGAAGGTGTTGTATTGTAAACATTGAAATTTACAGTGAAAGCCTCAATTGAGCATGCGTATGTGCGCTCTTAAAAAAAAACGAAACATTATATACATATATAACTAATTAAAAGCTTTAAAATAAAAACTATGTATGTTTACTTTTGAATACGGCCTCATCGAGTGCGCTATAAGGACAGAGATATAAATACTTGAAAGAAATATATATCTCGAATTAAATCGGTTTTTTTTGTTAATGCGATGATTTGAGATTTGGGATGATGCAGGGTGAAGAGAAGTGGAATAGGTGGGTTTCTTTTGTGAAGTGGAATGAAGAGTAGGTAAGAAGTTTACTGCGAGGTTGTGCTGTTCTCATTGTAGGGCGGAAGTAGGACCAATTTTGCGATTGGCCTTCTGATTTCCCTCTTAGCTGTTTCGATGTCGACTACTCTTACTCGGTTGTCGGAACCTGGGTGTAGCTTGACTATTCTCCCCAATCTCCATTCGTTTGTTGGCAGGTTTTCCTCTTTAACGACGACAAGGTCTCCTAGCTTTAAGTTGGTTTGTGGATGTTTCCACTTGTTGCGTTTCTGCATCTCGGTGAGGTATTCCATTTTCCATCTCCTACAGAATGTCTGGTGTAGGGCCTTCAGTTTCTGCCATCGATTTACGATTGAGGCTGGACTTTCATTTACATCGATTTCGGGTGGGGCAAGAAGATGCCCGCCGACCAGAAAATGACCGGGGGTAAGCGGCTCCAGGTCAGATGGTTCGTTTGAAGAGGGGCTTAGTGGTCGTGAGTTGAGACAAGACTCAATACGGCATAAGAGTGTGGTGAACTCTTCAAAAGTATATATGTGGTCGGACGCGACCTTTTTAAAGTGGGTTTTGAAACTTTTCACCCCAGCTTCCCACAAACCGCCCATGTGAGGAGCCGCAGCGGGTATGAAATGCCACTCTAAGGCTTGATGGCTGTACTTAGTGAGGGTGCTATTGCGTGCCTCAGCTAAAAATGCTTTGAATTCCGATCGTAAAGATCGTGAGGCTCCGACAAAGTTAGTACCATTATCGGAGTAAACGTTTTTTGGACATCCCCGTCTAGCAACGAATCTTGCGAAAGCGGCTAGAAAGGACGCGGTGCTAAGGTCGCTGGTAGCTTCAAGGTGAATGGCTTTCGTCGAGAAACAGACGAAGAGACAGACGTAGCCTTTTGACATGCGACATCCTCTGCCCCGGTAGGACTTGATGTCGAACGGGCCCGCGAAATCCACCCCCGTGTTTGTGAATGCACGGGAAAAGGTTGTGCGTTCTTTGGGAAGGATTCCCATAAGTTGAGTTTGCGACCGTTTCTTGTGGATCGTGCAGACCTTGCAGTTATGTATGACGGACCGTATCAAGTTTTTCACTCTGGGAATCCAATACAGCGATCGGATAAGTCGCAGCATCAGCTGGTTTTCTCCGTGCACGGAAATTTTATGGATAAACTGGACCAAGAGACGGGACATCCTACAACCATACGGAAGAATGATATGATGACGTTCATTGTAGGACAGATCGCTAGATGCGCTCAGACGACCACCAGCCCTCAGAATCTCATCTTTGTCGATGAACGGGTTAAGAGGCAGGATTTCACTTTTTCCGTCGATGGATTTTCCAGATTTTAACCTTGTATATTCTTCGCTGTAATATTGTTTTTGACAAATTGTTATTAAGCGTTGGGTCGTTGTTTTAATTTCGTTGGCCGAAATTGAACGAGACTCCGCTTTAAAGGAATATTTCGTTTTGGGATTGATTCTTTGATAGAATCTCATAATATAAGATATAACTCTCAAAGCCCGTGATAAATCAGAAAATCGATCGAGAATGTCGTGAAAGTCTTTTACTTTTGTTGTTGCATGAACATGCACCCTTTTTTCTTCAATGGTGGTGTCAAAGTCCGATTCTTGTGCTGGCCATCTCAAATATTTTTCTTGTAACCAAGAAGGACCCTGCCACCACAAGGAGTTGTTGACTAGATCACTCGCCGAAAGTCCTCTACTCGCCAGATCTGCTGGGTTTGATGCCGAATCCACATGACGCCAGTTTTCGGTTCCCACCTTGTCTACAATTTTTGTTTTTCGGTGAGCAACGAAAGTTGACCACGAACACGGTTATTTCCGGATCCATGCGAGGACTATTGTCGAATCTGTCCAGAGATTTATTTTCAAATGTCCAAGACTCAGATTTTCGACGACCGCTTCTACGGTTTCCGAAAGCAAAACTGCGCCGCAAAGTTCTAAACGGGGTAACGATACTGTTTTGGCGGGCGCTACCTTTGTTTTTGCCATTAGAAGGCTGACCACAACTCTTTCCGCAGTCTTAACTCTCAAGAAAACAGTCGCCGCGTATGCTTTCTCCGAAGCGTCGCTTAATCCATGTATTTCGGCGTCATCTGTTTGCGTAAAGTGAGCCCATCTTGGTATGCGAATGGTATTAATGTCCATGTAGTCGTGCATAAATGCCTGCCAACGGTCTAATGTGGTCGGAGACACGGTATCGTCCAACCAGTTCCCTCCAACCAAATATTTGCATAATGATCTTGGCGACAATTACCACTGGAGCGAGCCAACCGAGCGGGTCAAACAGTTTGGCGATAGCTGAAAGTATCGCTCTGTTAGTGATGACGTCACGATTTTCTATTGGTTTTGCTGTGAAATAGAAGTAGTCAGATTTGGCATTCCATCTGATGCCAAGTGCTTTTACCGTACTAGACTCTTCAAACTCTAGAAAATCGTCGGTGAGTAAATGAGATTTCGGTATACCTTCAAGTATTTTACTGGAGTTCGAAGTCCACTTTCTTAACGGGAACCCTGCTGAATCCAGTACCTGTAGTATTTCTTCTCTAGCTTTAATCGCTGCTTCGATGCTGTGTCCTCCAGCAAGTACGTCATCCACGTACATACACTTGCGAAAAATTTCGGATGCGATTGGAAACGAGCTCACGACACTATCAGCTAGTTCATGCAATGTCCTTATCGCGAGATAAGGAGCACAATTGATGCCAAAAGTCACCGGTTTTAATTCGTATAAGCTAATTGGTTCTCTTGGGCAGGTGCGAAAAACTATGCGCTGATATTTCGTTTGATTCTCATTTACAAATATTTGCCGATACATTTTCTCTATATCGCTGTT